CAGACTCTCGGCTGAGATTGTTGCTCGCGCCGCAAAAACAATTGGCCACACCACAACCAAGGTTCATTTTTAAAAAAAAAACAACCCCTAGTCGTGGCCCTGACCTTCGCTTGCGACGGCTACAAGTTTGCCGCGTCATAAGCGTTCCTCCTTGCTTGAACAGCATCTTCACCGGTCTCAAAACTTGAAATAAATCAAGTCTCAAGCGCTGAACATGCTCAAGCAACTACGCAAGTTTCGACCAACTGCGGAGATGACTCTCAACGCAATCGCCCAAGGGACTTGCTAATTGGTGATGAATGTGGGCACTCGCTTTTTACACAAGTGTGAATTCATACAAACCCCAAGCAGATTCATCCGAGGTCCCGAAGAGCCCGCACAAGCTACTACGCTACAAAGAATTGCTTCTTCAAATAGCAAAGCCGCTCACACTGCGCCTCTCCCGTTCCTGCTTTGGACGTTTCCAACTCAGTTCTCTTTGATTCAGATGCTCAAGGCCATCATGTTCCCCAATGTCTTCCTACTAAGGTGAATCCGTTTTGATGCGGTTCCTCCCCTTTCAGCGATAAAGGTCACACGCCAAGCCATCAAAATCCGTCAAGCAAAAGTCGTTAAAAACTCTTGCTTCAGAGTCAGATGCTTTCGCTTCTTTCTCATAGATGCCAGTCAGTGGAGTTTGTCACACGTGGATGTGACGTCACTTGCTGTGCCATTCGTCACGTAACATGTCAATACTATGTGCTCTTACTCATGCGTTTGGAAGAGACTGCTATACTTGTTCTCGTCAATCTGTCTGGACATGGCTGCTGTTGTTTAGTGGTGTACCTTGCATTCAACCTCAGCCAGTACCGCTGCCCTTTGGTTTGCAACCCACTTTGTACTTTGTGCCTTTCTTTTGGCATTGTTGTCGTCGTTGTCGTTGTTTTTCTTGTTGTTGCTGGTGCTGGTATCATTAGTTGCCCATTTTGTAACCCTCATTCCTTCATCCATGCGGCCGCATGTATGCGTTTGTCTTGGCTGCCGTTTGTTACCATCTCGTTTTCTCTTTTGCTACCCGTAACTCTCTTTGTTTGATTGCACTTTGGATCACCCTTTGCATAGACTATGATATGCACGTGTGTGCCAGTGTGTACGGGCGCTGCCGGATGCATGCCACAACAAGTCGAGTTGGTTCGGGGTACTACGGCTTATGGTCAACATTTATGAACGCCCCAGAAATCCTCCTAACATTTTTATGATTTATGGCTGCACCCCAGATGCACTTTCGAATGTCAAAACGCTTCTGGCCATTGGAGCGGCCTGACATTTTCGGCAGTCCGCATCGGGGCACATCGCAACGCCGGCATCAGAAGCACGAACAAACAGCCCACTTCTTACTATGTATACCTACATCATCAGGATTTGCATATGCTCCGATGCAATGCCAATTTGACGCGATGCCATATATCAACTCGAAAATCAAGATAAATTACGAGAAATACCGCGAAAATTCACGTTTATTACCCGAGATCTTGCTGCTCGTGGCTTGCATCCTTTTGCCCCACACTCTGCCCTCACACGTAGCCATGCGTAGCGCACGTCTTGGGGGTACGCTGCTACACGTCTCATGACGCCCATACTAGGCTCCATCCTGTCCTTTCTGCGCTGCCATTTCCGTCCGCTCTTCGCAACCCCTCGGACTGCTACCTCTCAGGATGCACTCAAAGCCGTTCTTCCTTGTACAGCATCCCGCTTACCATTTCCGCTTGCTAATTTCTCCACTACGTCGGCTTGCGTTCCACGTCCAAGCATCCCTAACCTTATTCCCCTTGCAAATAAATTCATTCACTTCACACACACACACACACGACAAGTCCTTTTTGAGATACACAGACACAAGATACAAGATACAAGTCACAAGATACACATACAATTTCACCACACACACACACACACACACACACACGACAAGTCCTTGTACAACCTAAAGAACCATCCACAAGTTCTATTTCAAGTTCCATTTCAATCTCCATCACACCAATCATCCCCCGCCCTAACATCACACCTCACACAACATACCCCACTCCCTTCACTCTCATACCTCGACTGCCACACCACCCACCATCTTCCTCACTTTCCCTCCACCACCCCCTTTCCCCGACCCTCACCTGAAAACCAACTCACTCACTCAAAAAAAAAAATCACAACTCTAGCGCCATCCCTTTCTCACCATTCAAAAACCAACATCCTCCTCTTTCCCACACCTTTACCCCCCGCTGCCATTTATCCAAAAAAAAAAAAACCAAGAGGCCAACAGCACCATGTATTCCCATCTGGTCACCCACGATAGTACTAGCATGGCCCAACATGGCTTAACTGCGGCGATCGGACGAGAGCCGGTGTATTCCATGTGGTATGACCGTTGGCGACAATTCAAAGCATAATTCTCAATATAACCACGCGACATAACCAATGGGCACCTTGAACCTCGCGAACAAGATGTTGTCATCAAAAAGTTGCAAATCGACAATTAACTTTTGAATCAATCAATGACATGAGAACGATCGACATCAACTTCTTGATCGGGTTGGAAGGTGGGGCGGGTGAATTAGCACGCTCTTCTCCCTCACATGATCAGGATCGCGTGTGACCAACAAGATGCGAGTTCAACTTGAATCCCAATTCTGCTTTGTTACACCATTGAGCTCTTCACTTGATCTGGAATCTGCTTGTTTCCGTGAAGATAGCGCAGCCGAACCTATGCGGCATGCAGGTACATCAGATGTGCGTGCGGACACAGACGTGTTAACAAGCTCCAGGACAATCGTTTTTTTTTTCTGCGCGTACCTTCGGGTTGCCAGCATTGAGTGGGTGTGAGCGATCTGTATCCCCGGCCACATCTGGCTGACCATTTGAAGCGTTCACCTTTGCCAATGCTGGCATCGGTACTGGCACGGGTGCAAGGGCTGGTGTGGTCGCAGTCTCTGGCGCAGTCTCTGGCGCAGTCTCTGGCGCAGCAGCTACAGTCTTGGCGGCAGTCGTAACCGCAGGGGCCTCAAACACACTCGAGGTTCTGCCGCTTTGGCGACCCGAGCGCGCATCTGTTTGAACAAAGGCTTCTGAGCCACGACGAGAGGACTCTTGAATGGTTTCAGCCGCAGCCTATTACAGAGTGCAGCAACAGAAACTGAGCAACACGCATGTTCCCATCCAACCATTGGGCACGAAGGGCAGACCTTGGCTGCACGCAGCTTTTTGAGCCACTTTTGACGTTCACCAGCAGATTCTGCATGAATGTAAAAGGTTCGATCGGTGGTGATGATGACAAAACCACACTCCTTGCCATCCCACTGATCAATAGCAATGGCATCGAGTAAATTGATGACGCCTGTGGCTTGCTGGCGGACTTGCGAGGGTGGATGTGAAACAATGTACATGTTGCTCTTGTGGTAGGAGAGCTGGTTGCCCTGTAGCAAAAACCAACGACGCTTCCAGTTTTTGCGTGAAAAGATGCGGGTACCACCACCCTGTTTCATCAGCCAGCCTTGGTGGACGACAAGATCTCCGTCAAAGCCTGTGGGAATTGAGACAAGGGAATGCTTGCTGGCCTGGAGCTGCAGCTCGGCCATGTTGGTCAAGGAGGCCTGGACACTGGCTCGGCTATACTCGTTGGTGGTGATTGTGCCATCGCAAGCATCAGAAAATATAAACTTGGCGCCGTGTTTGCCAAAATCTCTCTGAGTCAAGTACACCCCAATGGGGGTATCCTGCATGGCGATTCAAGTGAGGATAAAGGCGACTGCGTGGCATGTGCATCAAGATCGGCAAACAAGTAGAATACGAGCAAGGCCTGTTCTCACCTCAATGACGGGGGTGCTGCGCACAGATTGGGTAAGTGCGCCGATGATGGATAGACCTACCCAAGCGCCAGCTCGGGACTCGGCCGCAAAGTCTAGCTTGACTTGCGGCTCCAAGTGTGCGTTGCGCACGTTACCATCGCTGCGCGCGCGCTGTTCCAGCTACGTACCAGATTGCAGACAGATGCATGAGAGGTGCATGATCAGTGCAATGTAAATGCAAGTGGCCTACCTCTTGCTCAATGTTGTCAATGAATTCTTCCTGTGTGGCAGCACCCCCAGTGATGATGATGCTGCGCCAGAGCATGTCCCAATACTCCACGGGTGTGCGTAAGATGACTTGATGCACCATCTGATGGCGCATAGAGAACCACGTTGCACATTATTAGTGTTGGCTGACAGATAAGGGAGGGGCATGTGGCATGCAAAAGCACCTACGTCATATACAGTTTTGAGCACGTCCTGATCGTAGTACTCTGCCTCCCCGATTGGCAGCAAGGTGATGCATTCCTTCACGGGGCGCATGCTGACAAGGATGGGCAAGGCAGAGGAGGCGGGGAGAACAAGAGGTTATTTTGCGTCATGTTCGTGAGGGTGAGTGTGGGAATGTGAGAAACTGTGCGGCATGCCGCCTACCGGATGATGGGGACAATGCACGTGGCAGATTGTTCAGTGCAGATAACGAGTCCTTGATCACAGCCACTAGCCATGAGGGCGGCGGTCCATGCATTGCATAGAAAGAGAGAGGGAACTCGAAGTTCTTCAAAGCAGAGGTCCACAATGCTCTCCGCATCAGCTCGACTACAGCGTAAGGGAAGGGATAGCACCAGTCCATGCTGGGAATCGGGCCACACCCCTAGGACATCTAAGGCCTGACCAGGTGGTGGGGTTGGGCAAAGAGGGAGAGGTCAATATTGGGGATGGCCACGGGCGAGGTTCAAGAGCGCCAAACGTACTGCAAGCCATGTTTGCTTGATGCTAAGCCAGCTGTGCACGGCACCTTGCGTCATGGCGGGTGTCGAATCGGATGGACCACCGTCCTGGGTTCGAGTGGGAATACAAACCTGTGTATGGTGTGAAGATCAATAAGAGTCAGTGCCATCATTAGGCGGGTCAGGATGTGAGGTCTCGCGGAACTTACGGCAGGATTATCTTCGCCACACCGTCCTGCCAGAGTACGGCCACCTTCGGTGTGCAGGCAGACTATGTGCAATAAAGGGTTGACATGAGGGACAAGTTAGAGAAAGGCCAGGTCTCGCATGGGAAGACGGGTTGGGGGGGTTGCTTGTGAAGAGGCTTGCTGGTCAGGGTTGCTTCGAGAGGGGCTAGCCGGTAGATACGCACCATATTGAGATGGGGAGGTCCAGAGAGGTTCGGGCTCTGGTCGATCAATATCGCCATCTGACACGATGGTGCCCACGCCCTGGGCCACAAGTGCTAACACTGTTTCCGGGGGTTGTTGCTGGACAAGCGGGGAGATGTTGAGGTGGTCCTTTGGTCAGAGACAAGAGAGTTTGAAAGGACTCGGCCTTGCGGGCGTTTTTTTCTTTTTTGTGTTGCAGCGACATACTCGGTTGGCACTGCGAAAACAAGCCTCGGCACCATAGGTTTGGTATTGACTGCGTGTTAAATAAACGCCAATAGCACCATCCTAAGACAACACGAGTGCATACCAGTGATGAAAGAGGGCAGCGCCATCGGTGTGGGTGATTGGACCAAGCGGTTGCAGATGGGATCACGAGCGAGGGGACAACCTCAATCTGGGGTTTTTCATGAACTTTTGGGGAGAGGGAGCCAATGATGGAAAGACCCATCCAAGAGCTGACGGCGCCTTCGGATGGAAAGACGTGGACCACAGGCGGGTCGCCCTAAGATAGGTGAGCGAAGAAAGTGGCAGCGACGGTGAGGCTAGGAGAGGCATGACCACAGCACCACTTGCGTGGCACGGTCAAAAGGTGAACGTGAATCGTGTCTGCGTGTGAATCGCGTGTGCGTATGAGGGTCGAAGTCTGACGTACGGGAACGGCATGGGCAGCAGCGGCGGCAAGGTTAGCTTCAAGAGCAGCATCAAAGTTTTCAGGGAGGTCTCCACTGAGGAGAACCCGAGCGTAGAGTTCCGGTCGCATGGCCTCTCGGCAAAGGGAAATTGATTGCTGCACCGTCTGAGAGCGAGAACAGACAGCAAACGCATGCAAACCAGGTGATGAGGCAAGGGAGGGAGGCAAAGGGCAGGAAAAGGCGTTTGGGGTCAGGTGATGCATTATCCTCGTTCTTGAAGTTCTCATGTGAGATGGTGAAGGGGGGAGGATGACGATACCTTGATGAGCAATTGCAGGACGGAGGGGTTTCGAAGGTCTGAGGCGCCAAAAGGAAGGCGATATAGGCCTTCGGTTTGAAGCTTCATGCGGACCACTGGGGCAACGCAGGCCGCTTCCTGGCCGACGTGAACAACAAGGCCAGTGATGGCACCGTTGGCCATGAGGGTGGCGATCCAGTATGTGGAAATGAAGCAGGCTGGGGCCTGCAGGGAATCCATGATCATGGCGACAAGTTGACTGATTTGTTTACGAGTGGCGAAGATGGGGCAAAGGGTCACAATGGGCCGGGGGCTGCCTGGAGCCGGGGCTGAGGGTTTGGGCGAGCTGGCGCGATCAGCGCGATCAGCGCTGAGGTTTAGTGAGGCTGCTGTGTCGGGTACAGGCATCTGGACATCGGGGACGGCACTGAGCGTGCGAGCCCACAGGGAGCGCAAGAGTTCGATGTCCTGATGTGGGTGCCGGTTAGCAAAAGACACGGGACGGGTATCATGGATGATGGGGAAGCGTGAGAGCGGGAGGGGAACGGCGTAGATGCAAGGGGGGCAGCGAGGATACAAGCCAATCAGATGAGAGGGTGGAGTTGCAGTGGATGCGTACCCGAATGGCGCCACGGCGAAGGGGGCCGTTTGGGGCGATCGATCCAGGCTGGGCATCGCGTTGTTTGGGTGGGGTGGCGGTAGGAAGCCAGACAGTGGGGTCATCGCGTCCGCAGGGACCAGCAATGGTAGATCCTTCATCAGTTTGAAGAGCCACTAGGGAGGCAGCAAGGCAGTGGGGGAGATGCGAGAGCATTTATTAGGTGGGAGGAAGCGGGGGTGGTGGAGGTAGCGTGGTGTGGGATGGCGGGCCAGCCAACGGACTGGAGACTCACCCCATCGGTTAATGGGGGGCGTGGTGGCCGCCGAGGCCAAGACGTGTGTCATGGCAGTCGATGGTGTTCGGGATGATAGGCTTGACGAAGAAGAAGAAGAAGAAGACGAAGAAGACGAAGAAGAAAAAAGGCAAGGTCGTGGTGGTCAAACCACGAGGCAGTGGTCCTAGGCCGGTGAGTTGGCCAAGCCCAACCAAGCACGGGTCTGCAGGAAACGGACAATAACAGGCCAGGCCGGGTCACTGCAGGGCAGAGCCCCCGGAGCTCAGATGGCACCACAGGCTGGTGCACTGCCAACGGCCAGGCGCTATTTGAGCTGGGTGCTGGTATGAAAAAGAGGCCGGGATAAAGCCACACCATTCAGCCTTGTTGATCTTTTATCGGCAGCTCCGTTCAGCCCTGATCATCAAGGCTCTGTTCAAGTGGCGGTCCTGCACACACCCGTCTTTGAAAACTTTCAGGCACAGCGACACAGAGAGAGAGAGAGAGAGAGAGAGAGAGAGGGAAAAACTTTTTTTTTGTGTGTGTGTGTGTGTGTGTGTGTGTGTGAAATTCTGCATCTGCAAGCAGGCAGGCATTCACGGCACACATTCCTGGCAACAACGGGTGTTGTAAATGAGTGTTGTTATGCTGGATAAACCGGACCAAACGGCACCCCGCGAAGCCAGTGACCATAACATGACATTCCGCAGTACAGCAACAACTCGCCTTTTAGCACCACAAACTCAACCACACACTCAACCCAAATCACATTAATACCTATCGTCTTCTGCATAAACTCGAATATCCTCATCAACAACCTCCACTTTCCCTCTTCCGAGCAAGAAGAGAAAGAGAGAGAGCAAGAAAGCAAGAGGTCGGTCCGCCCCCTCGCTCCTGCTGCTGCTGCTGCACCACCACCACCACCACCACCACCACCACTGCTGTGCACCTTTGCCTCCCTTCCTCTCTCTCTCTCCCTGTGTCTCTGTTGTCTGTACATGCCTCCTGCTTGCTGTTTCTTGTGGCTTGCTGTTTCGTTTTTTTTTTTTTAGCCCGGGCTCCATCCGTCAAGTGGGAGGTGTGGTGTCCGCCCATGGACAGGAGGGGGGGGGGGTTGCTCCTTCACATCAGGATTGCTGTGGCTTTGTGGCGGTCGGCCTTGGACAGGATCGCGCTTGCCAAGAGGTGTCACGCGAGTATTGTATGCCGAGGTGGTTGCTGACTGGTGTGCCTGCCCTGTGCCTGCCCTTCCCGCTCGCTGCTCTGTGTTTGCACTGCCCCAGCGTCCAACTGCAGGATTGCACTGCCATCTTGCGTGTTATTCCGGATATGGCCTGAGCAAGAGCGCTGTTCACCTGACCTTGCCCCCACTTGGGTCCGACCCCTCCCTTACCAATTCTTTTTCTTCGAGGGTGACAGGGCCTGCCGACTGCCCATTCCCGTTCCTGGTCAGTCGGGTGCCGTCCTGTCTTTGCTATCCAACTTCTTTCGAAGCAGCCCCTCCCGCCTCGCTCTTCAGCTCACCGATCTCACTCAACACTAGCCTCACCTCACCGCCCTCCCTTCTCCATGCCTCCCGCCTTTTTCTTTTCCCAGAATCACAACCACAAAAGCGCCGCGCTTGCGGGGCGCCGTGGCGCCGGCTGATCCTTTCTTAGCGCCAAAACCAACATCATGGAGGCCGGTCAACTTGCTTGGCTCTTTGGAGTCGGCGACTATGCCGTCCCGTGTACCGTGGTTGCCAAAAAGGGTAACAACTATGAGGTTCGACACGGAAAAACCCCTCTCCCCGTGTCCTCGCTGCCCCCTTTCCCCGGGCTGCAATCCTTCACTCAACAACAATGGACGCGTGACAGGTCAAAAATCAGCACACCGGAGCCGTCGTCTCAGCCGATCGCAACCACATCCGCCCCATGGCCTACTCCTCCATCAACGGTGAGCAGCCCTTTCCCGCAATCCACGCCACGCCCCCTGCAACACACGACTCATTTACCCCTCCCTCCCCCTTTTTTTTTTCGCTCCTTCCACATGGTGCGTTGCGCCACAGGCATCGACGACATGATCGATCTTGAAGATCTCCACGAAGGCTCCCTTCTTTACAATCTCGAGAAACGATACAAATCGGAGAAAATCTATACCTACACCGTTCGTCTGGCATCCCAACCCTGGACCGCATTCTCATTGATCAACCTGTCACCAATGCCCTGCCATCACGACCCCATTTTTATTTTTATTTTTCTCGGGGTTGTGGCTGTATTATCTCATCCCCTCGCACTTTTGACTTGATCCGATCAGGGCTCGATTTTAGTGGCTGTCAACCCTTATCAGTACTTTGATATTTACGGCAAGACAGTCGTCAAGCAATATGAAGGCCAACTTATTGGTGCACTCCCTCCCCACATTTTTGCCATTGGTGCCGGTGCCGGTTCGTCTCGCATCGGCTCCTCAACCCTGTCCATGCCCTCCGCCTCGTCATGCGCTTCTTTGGCCTGTTCATGCATGCAGCATCGCATACAGCATCACCTCATTCGTCCCGTTCGCGCAACTTCCCTTCGCGCACCGCATGTACTCCCCCATGTGCGCGATTGATCCACAGTAATTGCTGTGCGCAACACTCGTCAGAATCAATGCATTGTCATTTCTGGTGAATCGGGGGCTGGCAAAACAGAGTCCACCAAACTCATCATGCAATACCTTGCAGCAGTCGATGCCACCAAGACTGAAAAAGAAGTGTACGCGTCCCCAGATTGGACCAAGCCCCCTTGCTAAACCAGTTCATTGAAGCTCGTGAATCTGGCCTTACCCAATCTGATTTTGCTCCCATAGCATCACAGAGCAGATCCTTGAAGCCAACCCGCTACTGGAATCGTTTGGCAATGCCAAAACCGGCCGAAACCACAACAGCTCCCGCTTTGGCAAATACACAGAACTTCACTACAACAATGCCATGCGCATCTCTGGGTGCTCAATCAAGCAGGTGCGGCTGCTCCACTGTCCATGCGTAAACACACCACTGCCATCTTCCGGCTGACGCACCGCCATGCCCAAACCCGTGTTCTCCCTCTCTTCTCAAATTTAGTATCTGCTGGAAAAGACACGCATCGTGTCCCAGCCAACCGGCGAGCGCAATTACCACGTCTTTTACGAAATGCTCACTGCACTTCCGGTGGCCTTCAAACAAAAACTGGTGTTGTCCAAAGCTCAAGATTATTACTACCTCAATCAAGGCGAGGTGTTCAAGATTGACAACAAGGATGACAATCAAGACTTTGAAAACCTGACTCGCGCCATGGAGGTGTGCACCATCGCTTGGCTTGGTGCTCCATATCTGCACTTCCATCTACACGCCTTCCCACCCAATCATACCCTCCACTGTGCCATTCCGCCACCATGTCTTGCCACCCCGCGCCCCTCCTTCCTAGGTCTTAAGTTTTACCCCCAAAGAGCAAGAGGCCATCTTCCGTGTCTTGGCCGCCATCCTGCACTCGGGCAACCTACGCTTTGTAGCCAAGGCCAAGGACGGCCTCGAAGGCTCGGCCGTTGCCGAGGGCTTGGAAGAGCTCGTGGGCATTGTCGCGGGCCTTTTGGGTGTAGGCGTCGAGGACCTCACCGAAAAGCTCACATGTCGAACCCATGTCACCCGCGGCGAACAATTCAGCACGCCCCTCAGCCCTTCTCAGGCGCAAGGTGCGTCTCACTCACTCAAAACACGAGGGTGCACAGCCGGCAATACGCTGCTTTCGTGAAATCAAGCATGATTGTCACCCCCGCGTGCCTTTCTTGGTTCCCACTGTACAACGTGTAGATGCACGCGATGCCCTGTCCAAGGCCCTGTATGCGAACATGTTTGCATGGCTCGTTGAGCGCATCAATGGGATTGTCGATCGCCATCAGCGCGAATACTCAATCGGCATTCTTGGTTGGTCACCTTCCCCTGCATTGCTTCCCTGTTTGGCAACGCCCCCTTCGCAACGTCGTTTTCCACTTTAACCTCATACATTCGCCCCACCCTTTGACCCGGACTTTCCTCCCCACCTTTTAGACATTTTCGGCTTTGAGGACTTTAAGATCAACAGTTTTGAGCAGCTGTGCATCAACTTTGCCAACGAGAACCTTCAATTCTACTTCAACCAGTACGAATGGTCCCTTGTTTACGTGGTTTCAGGGCCCAAGATTGGGCTTGAAATATTGCTTGTTCAAACTGATTGTCTCAGAGCTGGGTGCAAACATGTCTGACCGCCGTTGCCTGCCCAACCGTTGCAGCCACATTTTCATGTTGGAGCAGGAGGTGTACAAAAAGGAGGGCATTGATTGGTCCAACATTGACTTTAAGGACAACCAGCCCTGCCTAGACTTGATTGTGAAAAAGCCGACCGGTCTTTTCCATCTCCTGAACGATGAGTCGACGTTTTCTCGGTACGACTGCTCCCTTTGCTGGCGAGGTTGTGCAAATCCTGCGCTTTCCTTGTGGCCACACTTCACATGTGTGAAAGAACCCACGACTCAACCACCCTTGTACTTGAACTTCGAACCACGCTTTGCTCGCATTGCGCGCAGCGGATCTGACGAGGGCTTTTTGCAAAAAGCCAACAATCAACACAAAGATCACAAATTTTACCTGCGACCCAAGACCCGTGACTCGCGCTTTGGTGTTTGCCACTATGCAGGCAATGTGTGGTATCAGGTGAGCCGATCGTCTTTTGCGTTGATGCTCTTGATCCGCTCATAATAGCTTGCCAAATCCTCTTATTTGTCTCATCTCTCGTTCCGTTTTGTTTCTTTCTTATTGTGCCACAGGTCGCGGGTTTCTTGGAGAAAAACCGCGATCAGGTTCGCGACGATTTGCGCGAGACCATGAGCAGCAGTGAGCTTGAATTTGTTCGCAAGCTGCTGGCTGACGACGATGGTGCCGGCGATACACCGACCGCCGACAAGCGAGGCCACCGAGGCAAGACAGGTATTCACCGCATTGAGTAACAAACTTTTTTTTGGGCGTAGCCGTTGTTGTATCTGTGGAGTCAAAGATGCACGCCTATAACTCACCGCTTGTCCTTCGCATGGTGTTCAGCTGCGGCCCAAGCACGCCGACGCCCGACGCTAGCGGCAGTATTTGCGCAGTCACTCAGCTCACTGATTGACACCATGTCCAAATGCTACCCTTACTTTGTTCGATGCATCAAGCCCAATACCCAAAAGAAACCCGACATTTTCGAGCACCAACTCGTGCTGGATCAGGTGCGGGCATTGCCTTGAGCCCTTGAAAGCGCCTACCCTTTTGCTTCTTGTCATTTGCTCCAAGCTCTTTCTGAACTCGGTCTTATTGGGTCCTGTCCTGTTCGTGATGCATGTTGGCCAACGCCTTCCTTCCCTCCCCCTCATTCACCCGTCCGCTTATGGTGCACATTGCAGCTTCGCTATTCAGGCATGATGGAGACCATCAACATTCGCCGCAAGGGGTATCCGGTGCGCATCGACTATGATCGATTCAATTTCCGGTATGTTCGCTCATCGCCTAGTATGTGGCAGTTAAGCACAGCTCAAGGCATCAAAATCTTTGGTTTCTCGGCCTTTGTGACCTGGGCTCGGTTTGCTCATGGGCGCCTCTGCCACTACCGACACGACTGCCGCGAAATGCCATGCTTGCGCAGGTATCGAGCTGTATTCAAGGGCAGTAAACCTCCATCTGAGCCCAAAGCCGCAGCCAAGGGCATCGTAGAAAGCGTCGATACTATCTCTGCCGATGAATGGCAGCTCGGTCGGACTAGGGTACGCGCAACCCTGTCGTACCTCTTGCTGGCCCATTTCGGTCTCTGTAGGGTGAGGAGCGCGTCGATTCGTTGCGTGGGAACTCAGCTTGCGCGTTGCTTGCTGCTGACCAATGGCACTAGGTCTTCCTGCGCGAAGCTGTGGAACTTCGCTTGGAGGAGGCTCGTGCCAAGGCTTTGCATGACATTGTCATTATCATCCAGAAGAATGCGCGACGTTGGCGACAGCGAGCTCGGTTGGTAGTGGCCCACAAACAGGGGAACTTGTCCCGCGCATGCACTGACCTGCCACCTTCTCCACGTTCCTTCCCTTGCCCCGTCGCAGCTACCAAGCCCTTCGGCGTGCAGCAATCATTTGCCAGTCCTTTGGACGCATGCGCCTTGCCATTATGGAGTACAATCGCCAGTATAGTGCCGTGCTCACCCTGCAGGCCTTTGCTCGCATGATCGGACCCAGGCAAGTGGGATATAACGCTTCCCTTGTCTTCTCCACACACACACACACACACACACACACACACACACACACACACACACACACACACACATATCCTATTTTTTTTTGTTTGTTGTTTATTTCCCTTGTTGTTTCATTCACACACGTTGCGACTGCATGTCTCGTCACCTTGTCTCAACTTTGCCGTCGATTGTACAGGAAGGAATATATCAAGAAGCGTGAGGAGCGTCGGCAGATTCGCGAGGCCGAGCGCGAGCGTTTGCGCGCGGCAGGTCAACGTGCTGTGGGAGGTGAGCTAGCTGTTGCACATTTGGCTGTGGCTTGCATTAGCGACCACGCGTGTACCCATTCTTGGCTTTCCCTCACCTTTGCCTCTGTGCCTGATACCGTTTGGCCGCTTGAATAGATGTATCGCAACTGCCCTTGTTTGAGGATTTGCAACAATTGCTGGACGCCATCGTGGATGTCACCAAGGGCCTGGCCGGTGGACGCATCGCGGTGGACGACTCATTGCTTCATGTCCTTCCACGAAGCGCCTTCAAAGCATCGGAACTACCCGTGCCGGAAATCGAAGAAGGCATCGGTGGCTATTCCTTCTCCAAGTTTGTGTCGGGCTACTTTCAGGTTGGTTGGATTTCAGAAGAGCTTTCGGCCTACAGGCCGACTGGAGTAGCACCGCATCTCCCCTGCCGTCCAGATCCGCTGGTTTCGGCTCGCCTTTTTCTCGACATGTGGAACTGCTATTGGTTGGCCTGACCCTTGATCTGTCACACGTTTGGACTGCTCGTAGGAGGGAAGCTTGTGGCAATTCTCGCGCCATGAGCTGACGCAGCCAAAGTTGCATCACAAAGATGACAAGACAAAGCAGGATGCCCTGCTGCTTTTCAATGCCATTGTGCGCTACATGGGTGATCCGCACCTCACCGATGCCAAAGAGCGAATCGTGGCCGACTACATTGTCATGCGTGGTGTGCTTGACACTGAGCTTCGTGATGAGGTGGGTGACTGTTGCCACCTCAGCCAACGCCTGAGGCGACCGACTTGAACAACGGTGCAAGGGCGCCAGCCCGTGAAGGCTTGATTTATGTTTTGGTGATGGTTGCTGTTGATGTTTCTCTGCTCTCTGGCTACGCTTGCGTTCAACCGCTGGCACATGACTTGGTTTTTGCTCTCATCCCAACATGTGCTTTAACAGATTTACTGCCAAATTTGCAATCAAACTTGGCTCAATCCCAATGACATCAACGCAGAGCGTGGATGGCAGCTGATGGCGCTGTGCCTTGGTTGTTTCCCCCCCTCTGCCGAGCTGTACAAGTTTCTGTTGTGCTACATCTCCACGCATGCCCCAGGGCCCTTCCGTGCGCTGTGCCAGCACAAACTTTTGCGCATAGCTGGTGGGCAGCCACGAAAAGTGAGCCCAAGCTATCTCGAACACACGGCGGCCAGTCGTCCAGCTGCCATGGCCATTGAAGTCCACATTCCCGGCTCCAACGAGGTTCAAATTGTACACGTGGATTCGTCTACCTCGGCCGGCACGGCTGGAAATGCTGCAGCTCGACTGACGGGCGTGGCTAGTGCCTGCGGCTACACTCTCACCTTCGTCACTGGTACCGGTGAAGTCTTTGATCTCGAATCCCACGTAAGTTACCTCGTTGAGTGTCACTTTGTTGGGGACGGAAGGTGTCCTTTCTCTGGTGTGTGTGTGTGTGTGTGTGTGTCCTAGCAACCCCATAAAACTTGCCGTGTTTGTACGCCAACATCTGTTTTGCACGCAGCTTGATCCCTTCCCTGCGCTCACACCCTTGTTCCTGAACCTTTAGACGCCCGTGATGGATGTGATTGCGCGTCAGGAAGTGACACCAGCCATGCGTGGAGTCATGAAGGCTCATGTGCCAAAGACCCTGCCCCGCTCCATGGATCAGCGTGACTCTCGTGCTGATTTGCTTCTGGGCGTTGGGTCCAAGGTTTGTCCCAACAAGGCCCAGCCAACTCCAAGCTTCTCGCCTCGCTTTTTGCATCCTCCTCGGGCAGCTTGTCCAAGTTGGTCGTAACTGACTTTGGCTCGCGAGACGCCAGTATCACAGGGACAGCACGATGCATGTGAACTCACTGCTGTGTCGCTTCATCCGTTGTGCATGACTCGTACACACTTTTGTTTCTCTTCATTACAACGTAGGGCTCGCCCGGTGTTAGTGCACTGGACCCCAGTGATGTTCGTGCGGCCGTGGCCCAAGGCCACGTGCGCAAGGACATGACGCCAGCGCAAGCGTCCGAGCTGATCGACCACATGTTCAACGACCTCCTGGACGAGGATATGGATCACACGCGCGCTCGTCGCCTAGCTGGTCAAATCCAAGGTTTGGGTGTCCCACCACCTCCGCCACCTCCACCTCCGGGTGGTGCAAGCGGTCCTCCGCCACCCCCGCCCCCGCCACCTCCGGGTGGTGCAAGCGGTCCTCCGCCGCCCCCGCCCCCGCCACCTCCGGGTGGTGCAAGTGGTCCTCCGCCTCCGCCTCCACCACCTCCTCCAGGCGCGAGCAGCGGTGCCAACTCGGCCGGCATGGATGCCCTCCGCAAGCAAATTGAGCGAAGCCGCAGCACTCGATCGGGCAGCTTGTCTCAGTTGAAGCAAGGAGCCGGTGGTCCACCACCCCCACCTCCGCCCCCTCCGCCCCCCGTCACGGGCAATGCTGCTCCACCACCTCCACCCCCACTGCCTCCCACAGGCTCGAGCGCCCCATCGGCCCCTCCCCCGCCAGGACCGCCGGTACCGCCTGGACCACCACCACCCGGTGTAGGGGGTGCTGATGTGGAGAGTATGTCTCGCGCACCGCCACCGCCACCACCCATGACTCCAGCGGCATCACTTCCTCGCCCAGGGGCCGCTTCACCGCCCCCTCCCCAGGTCCCAACGTCCGTGCCGCGAGTGGAGAGCCCCAAGCCTCCGGCCCCGCCTGCTGTGCCACCAGCCCCAGCCACTGGGCAAGAAGCAACCCGTCCCGCCCCACCTGCTCCGCCCATTGTAGCCGTGCGGCGCAATGACGTGCCTGTTGCGGGGCCCGTCTCGATCCCCAGTGCTGGCCCGGTCAGCTCAGCCGGTCCGATCCTTCCCAGCAACAATGGCCACGGCGGGACCCGTGAGTTTGGCGCATCGCGTGCACCCACGTCCACCAACTTGCTCGAAACCGCCAATGTGGGCATTGTCAAGCTGGACCTGGATGAGGCGCTGGCGTATGAGTCTGAACATGTACCGTGGAAATTTGTGCTGCGCAAGGAGATTTTCCTGCCCGGAGAAACGGTTGAGGACGCGCGCGCCACGGACGTTGTATTCAATCAGATTGTTGCGGACGTGCTTGGCGAGAGCCCGCACCCCAACATCAATGCGGATGAGCTCGAGAACATGAAGCGCGTCATGTCCGAGACCTCGGTCAAACTGGACCCACCCACCCCGGTGGACGAGGCAGTCAAGCTGGACATTGTCCGGCAAGCTAGAAGCTGGCCACGCTACTTCTCCCGCCAGTACAAGGTGGTGCTTGAAGACGCCGAGGGCACTGTTTTGGGTGCCAGTGATGATGGTCCGACAAGAGAACGCCACTTCTTGAGCGTCGGCCATACGGGCATGACCTTGACGACCCACCGCGCCACTATTGTGGACCAGACTGGCGAGCAGCACCTCGAGGTCGCAACAGTGGACTCGGCCAAGTTTGAGGACATCAATCTAGATAGCTGGACGCTGGGCTCGACGCTGTTGGTGGGTGCACTGTCCAAAACACGCCATTACATTCGCACACAATATGCGGCGCTCGTGGCCAGCTTGATTGAGGGCTACGTCATGGAAACACAACGCGATGCCAAGTTTGCAGTTGCCTTGAAGGCTTACGAGGTGCGGGATCAGACGTTGCTGTCCTTCCCTCGCGATGCCGTCATTACGTTGGGCCAGAAAGAGGGTCTGGATCCGGGCTGGCTGTACGGCAGCTACAACGGGAACACGGGAGCTTTCCCCGAGACCTGTGTGGCCCCCATCGTGGGTGAGCCAACGCCGCGCTCGATTGACCAAGCGAAGCGCAATGCCAAGACCAAGCGAGTCAACTCACAACAGCAGCTCACGCGACCAGGTTCGCGCATTCAAGTGGACGAGGGTGATGCAACTGCCGCGGCAGCCAGCTTTAACCGTCGTGAATCAAAGCGACGTGCCCTGCGAAAGGGAGGTAGCCACAAGGCGTTGACCTCGGCAGGCATGGGAGCCGCACCTGGCCACACGGTGCGCACGCGCGTGGGCTTGGTCACCGATGATGAACTCTTGCCCGAGAGCAAATATTCGATGCTGCAGTTTGCCAAAGATCATTTCCGCTTGGGTCAAGAGAAATACGAAATGCAGCGCACTGAATCCGGTTCGGTTCGCGGCACCGTTAAGATGGTGGCCAAGAACAAGCGCCGTGGCAAGGACTCGGGTATGTTCACGCCGTCAAGTGCCGGTGCTCTTTCACCTGCACAAGCACTTTCTCCTCTGGCGTACTGCTCGCCTTTACACCTTTCCTCAAGGTCTCCATCCCTTCCACGCATGTTCTTACCCTGTTGTCTCCCTGCAAACTTGTGTTTTAGGCCCGGATTGGTCGTGGGCCGAGTTGACTGCGCTGGTCAAGTTTTCAAAGTCGCCGATTCAGGCTTCGTTGCTGCGCTTGCCCGACGATGACACTGTCAAGAATAAAATGGCTTTGGAAAACTTTTTGAACGTGATGCGCTTCATGGGCGACTATCCCGCAAAGAACAAGGATGAGCGTGAGGTGGTCAACTTCATGCTCACTGTGGCCACGGAGCATGAGGAGCTTCGTGACGAGGTGTGTCACAAAATTGCGCATCTGGAAGGCACCCGTTTGGGACTGCATTCTTGGTTTGCATGAGGCTTTTTTTTTTTTTTTTTTTTTTCTTCCTTCTCTCTCTCTCTCTCTCTGGTCTTTGTTCCGCTCCAACGTCATAATGCATGTGTTTGCACAAGTGTTGTTCTTATTGCCGTGGCCATGCCTTTGCTGTTTTCTTTGCATCGTTGTAGATTCTGTGTCAGCTGATCAAGCAGGTGACCAACAACCGATCGGAGCGGGCCGAGTCGTGTGCACGCGGGTGGCGCTTGTTGATGTTGGCGACGCAGTTTATCAAGCCAACCTCAGCCCTTGAGCCGTACCTCAAGTCATATCTTCAGAATACGGCCTTCCGGCTCACGCGTGAGTTTCATGATGAGGCGGCCATTTGCTTGCGCAATTTCAACCAAACGCTCAAGTTTGGCGGCCGCCAAAAGCTGCCATCGGCGGCAGAGATCCACGCCTTGCTGTTGGGTCGCTATCAAAAGTTGCAGAAGATCTTCTTGATGGGCAACCGCGCCAAGTCGGTCAAGCTGCACTCAACGATGGTGGTGACGGACGTCATCAAGGAGATGTGCGACAAGATGGGTGAACAGCACGCGGAGGAGTACGGCCTATACATTTACACCAAAACGAACGCGCATGGCAGCTTGCTGCAGGGCAACGACTACTTGCTGGATCTGACAACGATTCTGGATGAGCGGCGGGTCGAGTATCGCCTGTACTTTAAAAAGCTGCTGTGGTTTGCGCCATCATCGTTTGAGAACAACCTGTACAACCACATGATCTTTGACCAGGTGTTGGTCGACTTTATTGACGGAAACCTTTTGACGATGGGCTCGGTGGATCGCAAGTATGCAGAGACGGAGCTGCCGCGACTGGTGGTGCTGCAGCATCTGGCGCTCAACCCGCAGCCGACGCTGGAGAACCTGCTGCTGGAGTTGCATCGCTACATCCCGCGCACGATCGACGGTCTGTTAACGGATGACGAGTGGGAGAGGAGTTTGACGCAGCAGCGGGCGCAGGTGGGCGACCTGACGCCAGCGCAGGCGCGCAAGGGCTTTTTGGAGATTTTATCCAAACTGGACATGTTTGGGTCACGATTCTTCTACCTGCAGAGCGTTAGCGACCCGCGCATTGGTGGACCGGCTGTCCTTGCCGTCAACCGCCGGGGCTTGAGCTTCTTGCATCGGGATACGCGTACACCGCTGCTGACGTACAGCTACGATGAGGTGGTGTCGACCCGCCGTCTGGCTTCGCAATCGTCAGGCAAACACTTTTTCGACATAAAGCTGGGCAACCTGATGGTGCAGCGAACAACGCGGTGCGAGACGCGACAGTCGACGGAGATCACGGCCGTCGTCTCGTGGTTTATTCAAGCGCAGGCTGAGCGTCGGTAGGCAAGCAGGCGTGCCTGTGTGTTGAGCCTGCGCCTCGGGCTGCACGCCATTTGTTGTGCTTCCTGGCTTGTAGTCGAGCCTACCCCAACATTCTATCCCAATCCTGTCCCGTGCATGCGTGCGTGTGTGTCGAACATAAACTTGACTTGCACCTGTGAAGAAACTTTGACAAAAATTGACAACCGACTGCCCGTCTGATCCAATGACGCTCACTGGACGCCTCCAGCTCCCTTCGCACACTCCCTTCCACACGAGAAGACATGACATAGAAAAAAAAACCCTCCGATCGGCAAGTTGACGTCGATGGTGAAAGGACAAAAAGAAACGGTTTTTCTCGCCACCTGGAATCGAACCAGGGACCAATTGATGACAATTTATCCACTACAGTCAATCGCTCTACCAACTGAGCTATAGCGAGTCGCGTTGAAGGCTGGGGTCAAAATATATTATATATTCGAATTTTCTCTGGGCCATCGAAATGAATGACAAAAAATCAAGCAAACACTGAGGCGCATGGTGTATGGGTGTGGCACGAAAAAACAAAAAATGCCAAACCCAAAAGGAAAAGATAAAAGACAAAAGACAGACAGAGAGACAGAGACAGACAAAGATAGAGACAGACAAAGATAGGCAGAGACAGACAGACAGAGACAGGCAGAGACAGACAGACAGACAGAGACAGACAGGCAGACAAAGAAACAAACAAAAGAAAAAGAAATTGCTTCTCGCCACCTGGAATCGAACCAGGGACCAATTGATGACAACTTATCCACTACAGTCAATCGCTCTACCAACTGAGCTATAGCGAGTCACAACTGACACCCACCCAACTATGAATTAGATATAAATGGCTTTCAAATAGATCAATTTTCACATCTTTTGACGTCATGGGTTTGACTGTACGTTCATGTCATTTCGTCATTTCGCGTGTCCTGCCTGCGGATGCGTCTGAGATGGTGCGGCGCTTGAATTCGGCAGGGCTCTGCGGGCGTCTGGGCCTGGGTTCCGGTGGCTGGGAGGTGTTGTTATGGTTGCTGGTGTTGTTGTCTCTGCTGGCCGTGAGGGGTGAGGGTCAGACTGAGGTGGCTCTGGATGAGGCAACGGTGAGGAGCGATGCCCAAGGCAATTTGTACGTGACGAGTGGCGCGGAGCGGCGGGTGTTTGTGGACGGATTGGACGTGACAGCCTTGGCGACCACCTTGGCAGCGCAGCAGGCAGAGCTAGACCGTCTCCAGGTGCAACGGGCAGAGCTCTATCGGGCGGTGTCTTCTCTGCTTCGATCCTCGCATGTTTTGCTCCTCGGCGGGCGGATGGAGTCTGTCGCCGGGTTCAATGCTACCTTGGTGTTTGACGGAACATCATGGAGCAGGGGCCCGTCCATGCCAACGGCGCGTTACACGCCCGGGGCTGCGGTGTACCGGAACGAGGTGTATGTGGCAGGCGGATATGATAACGCCAATTTGGCCGCCACGGACATTTTTGACGGTGTGGCCTGGCGCACCGGGCCGTTGCTGAGCACAGCACGACATCGTTTAGCATTGGCCGTTTATCAGGACCGCTTGTACGCGTTTGGAGGTCGTGCAGACTTGTCCGTGGTGTCGACGATGGAGGTTTACGATGATGACATGGAGCTGTGGGTGACGACGGCGACGCCCATGCCTACGGCGCGTCACAGCCAAGCTGTCTGTGTCTTTGACGGGCTCTTGTTTGCTATTGGCGGGAAAGGGCAACCGCGCGCTACGCTGACAACGGTGGAGGCTTTTGACGGACGGACGTGGCTGACCATGCCGTCCTTGTTGCAGGCGCGCCAATGGGCGACGGCCGCCGCGTATGCGGACAAACTCTGGGTCATGGGGGGCTATGATGGTGCCAGGAACTTGGTGTCGGTCGAAGCCTTTACCACTGCGACCGGTTGGGTGGCTCAGTCGCCTCTGTACGTGTCGTCTCTCTCCGTCTCGGCTGTGGTCTTTAACCATCGGTTGCTGTTGTTTGGTGACGACGTGATCCAGGTCTTGAACGGGTCAACCTGGACAGTCTTGGGCGATATGCCAGAGCCGTGGACGGATTACGGTCTTGTGGTGTTTCCCTAGCATGCGTGTCCACCACCATGGTCTGTGTGGTCGTTGGTATCGTGTGCCCCGCGCCGTGGTTTGATGTGGCTGTTGTGTGCGTGTCTTGACTGTGCTTGCGCACACGTGTATATGCACTCGTACGATCAAATCCTACATACGCATCATCTTTGAGTCATCGAGTTTCTAATTGACAATTCATCGTATAGCTTGACATGTGAAGAAAGAGAGGGAGAGAGGGCTTGTAGGAGTTCAGACTTGTGTGTGTGTCTTCGTCTTTTTGGCTTTTGTGTGAGCCACTGTGTGTGGAGCTATACTGAGCAGGTGAAATGTTCCAATCAGGAGAGATCGGAACAACATGTTAGGCCATATGCGAACATGGAGGCTCGAGCATGTCGTACGAAATGCGAATTGCCAAGGGGATCGGCGTAGATAAATGCCTGCTGCCAGCCGAGGATCTGCTGCTGAGTGGTGAGCGTGAAAGAGACGGACACAGAAACAGAAGCAATAAGCGAAAAGCGATAAAAATTGCGGTGAAAATAGCCAAAAAAGACAGAAAGCAAAGCAGAAGAAAAAAAGCGCGCATCGCCCAAGATTAATATTAGAGGGTGGATTGTGATATTAACAAACACAGCTGAAAGGTGCACGAGCGCGGTACGCGTGCAAACATGCACCGAAGCACGGGTATCGAAATACCATCAATCATGTCACAACAACAAACACTTCGCCACCCACCCATTCACAAGCACCCACAATGATGCGGACAAACACCAATCATAGCATCTGCATGCAGCGGAGCCTTAACGTTCACGTCGACCTTGGAAGAAGAATGTGCAAGGTTCTCTACCGTGTGTACCATGCCAGCATCAGCATCAGCATGAGCGTGCGTGATCGGGGACGCTCGCGCTCGCGCTCGGGGACAGTACGCATGATTCCTACTTGGCAAGAATAGACCACACTATTCCCCCCTCCCGCCCCGCTTGACCTCTTTTGAGCCCTTCTTGGAATGTCGGGCGCGCTTGGTCCTCGGTACGGCATGCGAAGCCCCTCCCCACCCTCACACACACGGCATGCACCCCCCCCTTTAATGTGAACACCTCCCCCTTTTCGTTGCTCACCCCGATCAACCAACCAACCAACCACAACCAACCACAACCAATCAGTCCCAACATACCTACACCACACTGTTCGCGTCGGGCTCCAGCTCGTGCTTGTGCTGGCGTTCACTCAGATCGCGTCCAAGCGCGCGTTGCAAGCGCGTCGCTGGCGTTGACGCAGCTCGCGCCACACACAAACGCACGCGGCCAACACCTCGTCTGTTTGTTGTGGTCACGAGTTATTTTACAATCTTGTGGCCCCGCCGCCATCAAGAGTTGTGCCCCACCGCTTGTCGTTCACCTTTCTGATCGCGCGCGCGCCCTCTCTCTCTCTCTCCGGCCACCACCACCACCACCACACACACACACACAGACACAGAGCCAGCATGGGCCGTCGTCGTTGTCCCGTGTGCGCAAAGTGGTGCTTGCGCGGTCTTCAGAGCCTCTGCAGTCAGGGCACCTCGCCAGACTGCCACATGTGCCGGAAATGTCTCCGTCAATGCATTGATGCTCGCCTCCGTGACGGGGCCAAGGAAATCAAGTGCCCCGGCTGTCATGCACCGGCCTGCCATGCCCGCCTTTCTGATCGCCAGGGTGCCCAGCTGCGCCAAAACGTTCAACACCGCTACCCGCCTCGCAATCCCAGCCTCGTCCGCGTGCCCAACGTCGTGCAATGCTGGTCCTGCAACGTGGTCGCTGCCATTGATGCGGCTTGCGTCTGGGCGCGTTGCAACTGCGGCGCCACCCTCGTCGCCCCCCACAAACAGCCCTCGCGTCCCGTCACACCCCACCGACTGAGCCCAGCGTCGGTCTACGATGATGGTTCAGCCATCAACCTCAACCTGAGCCACCACAACAGCCTTCGCCGCAGTCACCGCAGCGCACGCCACCACAGCCGTCGCAGCCCCGCCACGCACTCACAACAGCAACGTCTCAGCTACCACAGCCTCACCTCCAACCATCGTCTCAGCGCGTACGAGGTCATCTTTCCCGGACCCAAGGAGACGAGCCCCTGCCCAAGCGACACTTTGCAAGAGGTGCTCAAAGACGCTTGCAACAATGCCCGCAATAACAGCCGCTGCGATGACCTCGACCCCGACATGGATTTGCTCAACCCCTGGGACTTGAGCGACGACGCCGCCTGGCGGAGAAGCGCAGTCGTCGAGCTAGCCGCAGACAGCTACTTTGAGGTCAACCTAGCCGACGAGAGCGAGGATGTTACATGCGCCCCCGACGGCGTGTGCATTGACTGGCGATCCCCGGCCTACTGCTCGCCCTACAACGACGACGACCAACTCGCGGCTCTACTCGAGGCTAGTCTGGACTCGAGCACTGCCGCGTGCGAGGGCAATGTCGCATCGCCCGCCGTCGGTCGGCAGCGCCGTCGGTCGGCTCGTGCCAGCCTGCGCCATCTGCGTCGCAGCCTCCGAGCCAGCCTGACCGCCAGCCTGCACGCATCACAATCCGACGGCAACGCGGACAGTGCGCTCGACGCACGCGTTCGCACCGCCCCAATGTATGCGGCCTGTCTGGACTTGCTCGAGGAACTGGAAAGGGCCAATCCCGCTGCGTACGCCGACTCGGACCTGACCGTGGCCCAGTTTGTTGCAGAAACAGCCGAAGTCTATCGCCAGCACCCCGAGCTCCTGACCAACCTCGAGCATGACCCCGCCAGTTGCAGTCAGCCCGCCCGACGGACCAGTCGGCGGGCCAGCAGCCGAGGCAGCCGCCGAAGCACCAAAAGCAGCAGTCGCCGTCACCATCCACAACGCCACCGCCGCACCTCGATCACCCTGTCCCATCAACCCTCGGCCCTCAGTGTCATCTGATTGGAGCCCCGCTGTTCTTTCCCTTCTGACCCACCCGTATCGGTAGTATAACTTGTGCATATGCGGCAACGGAGGTGGCACTTGTAATTTCTCATCTATTTATCGTTTCTATCCATCGTGTTCCCGCTGTGCGTGTGCTCCATGATCGCAGCCGTGCTGCCCAAAATGTTTTTCCTTGTCTCCATAACAATCCCTCGGGCTATTTGCTTGATCCCACCCCCCGCGCCTTGCCATTTCAATTTATAACCGAAGCGCATTATCGCATGCAAGGGCAGGAGACGAGAGAGCGGATGAGGAGAGACGGAAAGAGAAAGAGAAAGGAATAGCAAGAGATGAATTGGTTTGGTCGGTATGAGAAAGAGAGAAATACATGTAAAGAGCAAAGAAAAATGAGAGAGGAGGGAAAAAAGAGAGAAATGACAGTTTGAGAAAGGGAAAGGTATAAAGAGCAAAGACACAATAGGGAAGAGAGGGTACAACTACCACATGGGGTTGACACAGGCTACATAAAGCAAAAAGCATCACCACCGCATGCACGCATGGCCACAGCCACTGGTGTGTGTGTGTGTGTGTGTGTGTGTGTGTGTGTGTGTGTGTGTGTGTGTGTGTGTGTGCGTTGCCATTTTCTCTCTCTCTCTCTCTCTGTGTGTGTGTGTGCGCGCTCACCACAAAAGAACCAGCAGGATGACGTGCGGATCGTGCTCCCTCCTTTTGGAACTGGTACGACAGGCTGTTGTGACCTGGCCTTGGGTCTCGATCAAACACGCTTGAAGTGGGGGAAGGGCTACCATGCACAACAGGCGCTTCGTCGCTTGTACGCTTGCTTTGGTCGGGTCCGGGGAAGCGCATTCGGTGTCTGCACACACGCTCTCACTGGCTCTCGGTTTGGCCATCAATGAATGCGCCATTGTGTGGGTGATTGTAGATTGGCGCCGTGGTGCTGGCCAACTTGGCCTACAAGGCCGTTTGCAGCATCATTGCTTACTTTGGACGCCCTGGTATCCCCCTCAAGAAGTTTGGCGAATGGGCCGGTACGTGTGTGACCTGATCCTCCTCGGCGTTCGGCGTGCTTGGCTCGTCGCGCGACCCCTTCGCCGCGCTTTAGCAATGCTCAAACGACGGCCGGATGCGGGTTGCTGCCCCATGCTCCCTTTTGATCTCATGCCGCTTCTCCTTTCCCGCCCTCTTGCCTGGCTGCCCTCGCCCTGCCCTTTAGTTGTGACGGGCGCAACGGACGGCATTGGTCGTGCCTACGCCTTTGAGGTTTGTTCATGGATCCCTTGGCTGTTGCTCGGTGGCCCACCCAGTTTGCGGCCGCTCTCTGAATCTCCAGCCAGAGAACTGGCCAGATGGGTGCTTGTAGCCAACTTTTCCATGTCCGTGACCTCATCCCCCTGCTACTTGTGCCTCGAACCAGTGCGCTCGCCAAGGCCAAAACGTTATCCTCATGAGCCGCACCCAAGCCAAGCTGGATGCCACCAAGCAAGAAATCCGTGCGTTTAAATTCGTCCATGCTTTTTCTTGCGCTGGCCAGCTCTATAAAGACCTGCTCGCTTCCGGCGTTGATCTTGCAAGGCACCACACACCGCACGCCACTACACCTCATCCCGCGCATCGCTCATGCTCCTCCGTGGACAACCCCCACCCCATTTGTTTTCGTTTGGTACGCGCATAATGCATGCAGAGGCCAAGTATGGCAACGTGCAGGTTGAGACGGTGGCCATTGATTTCTCCAAGCCCTCCGCCTCCTGGCGTGCGGCTGTTGAGGCTGCCATCAAGGGCCGCAACATCGGTCTCCTTGGTGAGTTCCGTATAAAAGTCTTGGTGTTTTTCTTTCCTTCGACTTTTTGGCTGGCGAGCCAACTCCCAATCTCCTGCTGGGCCCTTGCCGCTTCCCCCTCTGCTCTCCGCCATCTCACCCGGGACCTATTCGTTGCACATTCAGTGAACAACGTGGGTATCTCGTACGACTTCCCCAACTACTTTCTCGATCTCTCCGAGGAGCGCGTGGCCCAGCTGCTGGCGCTCAACGTCGAGACGGCCACAGTCATGTGCCGCATTGTCCTGCCTGGCATGGCCGAGCGTCGCAGCGGTGCCATTGTCAACGTCAGCTCGGCCAGCGGTAGCATGCCCACCCCGCTCCTCTCCATCTACTCGGCTACCAAGGCCTACATGGACTTTATGTCCCAGGGCCTTGACGCTGAGTACAAGAGCCAGAACATCTCCGTGCAAAGCTTGATGCCTCTCTTTGTCACCACCAACCTCAGCAAGATCCGCAAGTCTAGCCTCTTGACTCCCACCCCCGAGACTTTTGTGCGCTCCGCCGTCAAGACCATTGGTGTCGAGAACCGCGCCTCGGGCTACTTTTTCCACGATCTGCAGCTTGGCATTGCCAGCCTTCTCCCCAAGTTCATCGTCGATAAGCAGCTCTGGAACATGCACCTCAGTCTCCGCAAGCGTGCCCTTCGCAAGCTGGAGAAGGGCAAGTAAAACCGCCACCGGCCTTTGCATCCGAGCAGTCTGCTTCCTACTCACTTGAGTATGTATGATGCGAGTCAGGAGAGAGCAAGCTCAACGTATGTTGCGAGTCAGGCGAGAGAAAGCTCAAGATTCAATCGTGTCGAGCTCTGCCCTTCTCTGCCTCGGAGCCTGCCTCATCTCTTGTTTGGCAAACCATGCAATCGACCTGAAACCACACACACCCTCTCATACAGCCCTCATCACTGGGCCTCGATGACTCGGACCGGTTCGAACAAAGGCAAAAGAAAAGAAGAAAACACCACTCAACTCCAACAACAAGCAGAGCCATCAAGGGTGGCATGGCGCAAGTCAGGCATGTCTGCAATTGATCTGTCGTGCAATCACCAGTGAGCCAAGCCCACTGAACCATCCCATCATCAAACAAGTTGCGCGTCCGTATGACCCGCTGCCAGCCAACTCGGAAATGGGACTTGTTGCACGGTGCCAGGGACAAGGAAAGAGCAGAAAAGGATAAACAGAGCGCACACACACAAGAAACAACCCTTTCCCTCTACTCGCTGTCGGGCAGTGGTTTGCCTTGCAACTTGCACTGCTCCTCAAGCTGACCACAAGCAACCTGTGCCAAACAATAGGAGCGTTGCGCGTTTGTTCCAGCCAGCAAAAAAAGTCGAAAAATGAGCGGAGGCGGGTCAACCCACAACCATGGCTTGCTTGCAAAGCAACAAGAACACTGGCCACAAAGGATGGGCGGTACGTACGGCGAGTTGATAGTTTTGCATGACAAGCTGGCCCCATTGCACTTCAAGCTGGTACAGCTCCTGGCCGGCGGTTGTTTGCTCCTGTTGTCGCTCCCAGTTCATTTCATCAAGCCGAGACCTGGGAGAGATTTGCAAAGAGAGGGCAAGCGGTCAGACCTGCTCGGGCCATGCGAATCGGGCAAAATTCCTTTGGAAGGCCATGTGCCGGGTGGGGGCGTGGGCACGTACTTGATGGCGGCCAGGTCGTTTTCCAGGTCTGACTTGATCTGCTCCAGCTGTTCGTTGTACCGCATCCACTTTTGACCACCGAAATCTGTCATCAACTCCAAGTTCTCAATCCTTGATACAAGCCAAATCCCGAAGATCAGTGTGTTCATCGGCCGTCCAGTGCGGAGCCATGTTTATGATGAAATGAGGCAACGACGGCCCAAAAGCAAGCAGACCCAGAGCAATAGGGTCGAAGAACGGCGATGGTGGGCTTACCGGGTACATTGGTGCTGAAGTTGTGCCCGCGCATTGTGAACGGCTTCAAGCCAAGCATTGTAATCGTTTTGCTTGGCCTTTGGCGGAGGAGGGAGGTTGTAGCGGCCCGTGGCAAAGCCTGGCAGGTTATCGCCCTTGGCCTTGCGCTCCATCTCCCCCTGTACCATGGCAGTGCTCTGCTCATTGAATGTGGCGCAAGGTGGCGGTGAGCTTTTGAGGACTTCAAACATAGGCAGCAGCAGCAATGGGAGGAAGGGAAGGGCGCGCACGCGGGCGGGATACATGCGGGTGCGCGCGTGTGTGTGCGAGGGTGGTGCGGAGACTGTACCTCGGGCATGACGCGCAGCATCTGTTGAACGCGGGCACCATAGGCTTCCTCATCAAAGGGAGTGGCTTGCATCTCAGCCTCGAGTGCCGCGTCCACCTGCAGCATGGCGCCCAGCAGTCCAAGCAGTCAGCAATAGCTCGTGTGACATCACGGGCGGCCATGATGGTGGCAACTCGAGCCGTCAGGCAAACCTACCGCCTGCTGCATGCCTGGCAGCTCCAGGTCACGATCCACGTATGGCAGCGCCATCTTGCTGGCCCTGCGTTTACCCGAGCTCTGCTCGCCGTGTATCAGGGCGAAGAGGGAGGTCGAGGCGTTTGACCGGATCGCGCTTCTCTTTTTTTTCCTTCTGTGGGACACTTGGACCAAATGTAAATGGCACCAACATGTGGTAGATCCAAGCTGAAAAAGTATTTTCGGCCACTTGGCACGATGGAAAAGGACATGTTGGCGTTTGAACGAGTAAGTATTATACTTTGAGCGCGTAGCACACGGGGTTTTCAACATGTGTTGTGAACAAATAGAAAATGTGCGGATTTGAGTTTTTTTATTTTATTTTTCTCGGTGGAGTTGATCAGGTACCACCAATGGCAGCCGGCTGTGGTCGATGATGCCCGTGTGCTGAAGAAGAGGGGGAAGCGGGGGTGAGCCTGCGCGTGCGGGAGGGAGGTGCCGTGAAGTTGGAATGGGAGCTGGTTGCTGGCACATCCCTTCAATCGTGCACCTTTTTCGTGCTTTTATCCTTTTGTCTTTTCGTGCGTGTGTGTGTGAATCTCTCTCTCTCTCTCTTCTTCTCACACACGTGTTGACTCGCGCTCTCTCTCTCTCTCTCTCTCTCTCTCTCTCTCTCTCTCTCTCTCTCTCTCTCTCTCTCTCTCGCTCTCTCTCTCTCTCTCTGTGTGTGTGTGTGTGTGTGCCTGCCGTCACACGCATTCGGCGGCGGCCGTGTGCTTGGGTGTTGTCCGAGTGTGGCTGGGTGGTTGACCTTGTTGTGTACGCTCGGCTCAATCGCTGGACTGGTTGGCCCTCGTGGATACCTCTTATGATTGCTGTGCCGAACCCTGCTCAACCAGCTAGGATCTCGCTCATCCGGGGTCGACTTGCCCTCCCTTTTCAAACAAATACTTCCTCATCAGCCAGTACAATGGCCGTCGACCGCAAGCGTGCCAAGCTCGATGTTGGCAGCTCGTACGTGGTACCTGCTATTTGTCGCCTTGCCTACTCTTTGCGTTCGATATGCACCCATGTGTCTGTGCACGCGCAACATGGTCTTCGTGTCAGCGCGTCTTGGTGTCGGGTGTTTGTGCCTGCGCGTTCCCACATGTCTTCTTCTTTTTCCTTTATGGGAAGAGGGGGGGACATGCTTCTTTCATTCCCTTTCACATGGTGCCGGTGCTCATTGTGCTTGTTCATTTTGTTGATGGTTTCGTCCAGTGCGAGCAGCGCCATGAACCCGTGGACCGGTCACTCGTACAGTGATCGTTATCACAAGATCCTCGAGGTACGCATGCATCATCTGTGGCTTGGCTAGGCCTTGGTACCAAGAAGCGCCGCCGTTCTTCTCCGTTCCGGCCCTGCGGCCCTGCGCCCCTGGCCTCACTTTTTATCTTTTTTTTTTTTTTTTTTTTTTTTGTGGGTGTGATTTCTGCATTGAATGTCAGGGTCGCCAAAAATTGCCCGTCTGGGAACACAAGGAAAAGTTTCTCAGCACCTTGGCCAGCACCAAGCAGATGGTTCTTGTTGGCGAAACCGGCTCTGGAAAAACCACCCAGATCCCTCAGTATGTGCCCGACGCTCCACACACGCCGACCTCCCATCAGGCCCTTTTGCCTACACACGATACACTGCGTTGTCAAGGGTCTCCCTCATGCCCGAGTCGCCTGGATTTAGATGGTGCGTTGAAATGCGTGGCGGCCGACAAGTCGCCTGTACTCAGCCCCGTCGTGTGGCCGCCATGAGCGTGGCCCAACGTGTCGCCGAAGAAATGGACGTGCAACTTGGTCAACACGTCGGCTACACCATCCGTTTCGAAGACTGTACCTCCCCCAACACCATCCTCAAGTCAGTTTCTGCTCACGGCACTCATGCGCGATGCGAACCATCATCCCTTTGGGTCTCACCCCTCCGACTTTTCGCGACCTCATTCAACGTCTCCTCGCACGATGTACAGGTACTGCACTGATGGTATGCTTCTTCGCGAGGCCATGGCTGATCCCTTGTTGAGTCGCTATGGCTGCATCATTCTCGATGAGGCACACGAGCGCACCTTGGCCACCGACATCTTGATGGGTCTCTTGAAGGAGATCATCGCCAAGCGCACAGACCTCAAAGTGGTCATCATGTCTGCCACGCTCGATGCCGGCAAATTCCAACAGTATTTCAGCAGTTGCCCTCGCATGGTACGAATGCTACACTGAATCCCTGGTCCGAAACTGGCCCCACCTCACTCCAATTGGCAGCAACCAGGCGCATGTCTCACCTACCACTTGCTCCACCCTTTGATTGGTACCACCACCAACACAGGACATTCCCGGCCGTACCTTCCCCGTCGAGATCTTTTACACCCCCGAACCCGAGCGCGACTACCTTGAAGCGGCCATCCGCACGGCCGTTCAGATTCACATGGTGGAGGAAACCAAGGGCGACATCCTGCTCTTCCTGACCGGTCAGGAAGAGATTGAAGAAGCCTGCCGCAAGATTCGTCGCGAGGTCGAAAATCTTGGAACAGAAGTCGGCCCCGTCGATGTCGTCCCCCTCTACTCGTCACTGCCCCCAGCGCTCCAGCAGCGCATCTTCAACCCACCCCCGCCAGATCGCGCCAACGGTTCGATCCCTCCCCTCCGGCGCCAGCATTCGGCCTTGTCATGCTTGCTCCTGCTTTCCATCTCTACCTCCTTGTTTATGAGTCGTCCTCTGACCTTTGCGTGTGCTGTCGTCATATATATATATATATATATATATATATATATTGCTCTTGCTCCCAACCCTCTCAAAGGCGCACCGGGCCGCAAGGTTGTCGTGTCCACCAACATTGCGGAAACCTCCATCACCATTGATGGTGTTGTCTATGTCATCGACCCTGGATTTTCCAAGCAAAAGGTGTACAACCCTCGTATTCGCGTCGAGTCCCTTCTGGTCACCCCCATTTCCAAGGCCTCGGCCCAGCAGCGCGCCGGTCGCGCCGGCCGTACCCGACCGGGCAAGGCCTTCCGTCTCTATACTGAGAAAGCCTTCAAGTCAGAGATGCAAGAGAACACCTATCCCGAAATCCTTCGCTCCAACCTTGGCTCAGTGGTGTTGCAGCTCAAAAAGCTCGGCATTGATGATCTCGTGCACTTTGATTTCATGGACCCGCCAGCGCCAGAGACTCTGATGCGTGCCCTTGAGCTTCTCAACTACCTTGGTACGTTTATGGTCCAAAGGCTTGATCAAGCCCCCTCTCTCATCTCGTGCTGCCATCACAACAGCCGCTCGATCGAGCAATCAAATTGTGTTGCCCGCAAACGCGCTGTTACGTTGGGTTTGAGCTTGTGGCTTGCCTTTGCTTATGATGGCCTTGCCTTTCTTGGTTCCTCCTTTCCCCACCTTTCCTCGAAACTGTGTTCGCAGGTGCCCTGGATGACGACGGTGAATTGACGCCCCTCGGCTCTCAAATGTCCGAGTTTCCCCTTGACCCTCAGTTGTCCAAAATGCTGATTGCCAGTACCGAGTTCAACTGCAGCAATGAAATGCTCTCTATCGCTGCGATGCTTTCCGTGCCCAATGTCTTTTTGCGTCCCAACGACCAGAAGCAGGCTGCCGATGAAGCCAAGAACCGTTTCGCGCACGTGGATGGTGATCATCTTACCATGCTCAACGTTTATCATGCCTACAAGGGCAACAACGATGACAAGGACTGGTGCTGGGACAACTTTCTCCAGTTTCGCTCCCTGAAGCAAGCCGATGACGTGCGCAAACAGCTCGGCGGCATCATGGATCGCGTCGGTCTTGCACGCGTCAGCACCGACTTTTCTAGCCGCGACTACTACATTAACATTCGCAAGGCCATGACGGCTGGCTTCTTCATGCAAGTGGCCCACCTTGAGCGCACTGGTCACTACCTGACCATCAAGGACAACCAGGTCGTTCTGCTGCATCCCTCAACCGCCCTCGACCACAAGCCCGAGTGGGTTCTCTACCATGAGTTTGTTCTCACATCCAAGAACTACATCCGCACCGTCACGGAGGTTAAGGCTGGTGCGTCCACGTCATGTCGCCTTTTCAACACCCCTTGTAGCTTTCTCCTCTCATTGAGTGCTCATTCCGCTTGGTTTTTGTCCCGCAGAATGGCTGCTGAGCATTGCTCCGCAGTACTACGACATGGGAAATTTCCCCGAGTGCGAGGCCAAGAAGATCTTGTCGCGCATGATCGGCCGCCAGCGGCGGTAAAATTGGACGTTCCTGTCGCGCCGGAGGAGTGTCGGTTAGCGTTTGGCAGCGGTGCTATGGGCGCTGCCGCGCTTGATCTGTCGAACTTAATTGATGTCATGACAAGCGGCACCTTCGTCTCTGCCCATACATGCTTTGTGCACACGTCAAACAGGGAAGAAAATTTTTGTTGATTCACAGTTCCAAGTCCCTTGATCACCTGCCGTCTCCCTCAAATTTGAAACAATTTTATCATCGCTCATGTTGTCAATTATGATGCACGCTTCACAAAAGCATTCAGCAAGGTACATGTATCAAATGGAATAACAATACACAGCCAACGAAAGGCCCACAGCATTACGCCTGGACGAAGGTCGAACAAAGTCTGAACCGAGCATAACTGAAAAGCCAAAAAGACCACATGCTCACAGTCTACTCTAGGAGTCAGGGGACCAGGTGGAGGCTCAACGGCGGCTCGTGGCGCCCGAGCTGGGGCCAAAGGCCGGGAAACTCTTGAGTCGCAAGCGCTCCACCTCACGGCGTAAAAGAGCCATCTCCTCGGCTTGTGATTGGACGAGCTCGACAAGCTTGCGTCTATGTTGTACGCCGCGCAATCGTTGTTCCGCCCCACCGTCACCCACAACCTGGGCTTGCACCTGCCGCACCTGCGCCCGCTCCGCTACCGTATTGGCCATGCCCCGGATCTGTTGATCCAACTGTTCGTTCTCACGTACACTGCGCATTGTGCGCGGGCGCACCATTAAGACAGATGAGATGGCGCGAACACTGGAAAATGAAAGAGGTTTCGCGTCCCACTGCGTTCCCTTTGCCCCCCCTCCCCCTCTTCGCTGTCCACTCCTTCACTACCAAAGTTGTCGGGTAGCCAACGGCTTCAAAACAACCGGACAGCAATGACGTACCGCTTGCCAAGCTGCTTCTGGAGGCGCTTCAACTGCTTTTGCTTATCCGCCAAGACGTGTTCGTAATGGTCCTCGCGTGCCTTACGAACTCTACGCGTTGTTGTCATGAAGAGGTCGCATCAGTTCAGTGACAATTTCGGCTTTAATCACGGCGTCCCTGCCCGCATCCCCTCCTCAACGCGTCACTGCCTGCATGTTCATCAACTCACTTCTCCAAGTGCTCCGCTTCCTTGACGGGGTCAGTCTTGTGACCCGAATTCTTCTTGACCTTGAACAATTGCGTCTGTCGCGACACATCCTCGATGTACTCGAGCTCGCTGCCAAACAAACACACCAGACAAGAGACAAATTCGTTGTGAGCAGGCGCCTTTCCAAAACCCGACCACGAGGATATGCACAACAAGACCAACAAGGCACTTACAGGTCCATGTGCTCCGATTGCCACTCGAGCAGGCGCAAGCCCTTGCCAGACTCAATCTTTTTGCGCGTGTGCGCAATCTTGGCTTGTGCCAGCTGCCGCGTTTGATCGTTCAAATCATCCACAAACGCTCGATGCACCAAAACGGCATCATCGTAATTTGGATCAAAATCGTCCTCATGCACCACCTCGACTTGGCCTTGCTGAACCGTGACCAGGAGGGGCAGGTCCAGACTCAGCTCCAAGAGATCGTTGTGCAAGCTGCGCTGTTCCGAAATGGCCATGTCCACGCGATTGGCTGCTTCGCGTTCTTCCACTTCACGCCGTGCCAGAAACTGCTTGGCCACGGCCAAGTCTTGCGCTTTGAGGTGCACCTTGTGTTCACTTGCAATTTTTTGCTCGCGCAAATGAACCAAGCGCCGCCACATGGCATCCTCCAAGCCCTCAGGGCAATCATGCTCGCGCACCAACGGTGGCACGGGCACGCCGAGTCCATACTTTTTGGGCCGACGCCGGTACAGGCGGTATAGAATATCCAGAAACGCCTCGGCACCGTTAAAGTCGCGGCGTGTCTTGAACGATTTATCAAGCTGCTTGTCTTCCGTGACCATTGCATCATACTCCAGCTGGACATCGGCCACCATGTTGGTGGCGCTTGTCACCTGACGTGCACAGCGAGCTTGCACCGCCTTGGCCTCGTTCAGTTCCTGCACGAGCTCAAGTTGACGGTGACGCATTTCTCGCTCCACGTGTAAGGCTTGCGAGAGCTTGAGCACCGCAAGCTCGTGGCAAGTTACCAGCTGCTCGCTGGCAATGCGCTCTCCAAACAGCACGCGAACGCGCTCGTTGAAGGCCAAGCGCCTACATATTTCCACGACACAACAAGCAACGTCAAAATGACAAATGAGGCTGATCGATACACGTGCCAGAGCCACACGGGTACAGCTCGAGCGCAGAGCTTGACATCAAGATGCGAAGATACGAGCCCACCACCAAATGCCAAATACACTCAAACGGCACAGAGACCCCCAATGCGACGTACGTGGCTTCGACCTGCTCCTGGAGGGCGCGCAGCTCAGCTTGCAGGAGTTGGCGACGCTTGTCACGCTTCTCCATTAGCTCCTTCACGGCAGCCTCATAGGCCTGCACGGTCTTCTTTTGCTCATCATCCCACTGTGACTTGGGGACCTCGCTCATGAAGGCGGGTTTGGGTAGGTCTTCCCACACCGACTCCTCCTCTCGACTCTCCAGTCGGCCAAACATCATGTCGTACACGCCGCGATCGTGGGCATCGTTCTCGGCAGCCTTGCGGCGCCGTTCAGCTTCCAGGCGCTCTTGCTCCTCAAGCGCTGCGCGCTGCTCCGCCGTCAGCACCCGTGGCACCTGCACCTCTTCGTCACGCACAGCCAGAACATGCTCTGGATTCTCGTGAGGGAAGGTAGGCGGATGATAGAGCGGCGGCTCGCTTTGCAACTCTTCGCAAATTTTGACAATTTTCTTGTTGATGGCTTCAATCTTGGCCACGTCGGCACGCTTGGCATCGACGGTATCGGTGAAGCGCTTGTTAAAGGACAGTTTGGCTTGGCGAATGGCGTCTTGAAGAAGGACCGTCTGGTTGCGGCGCCGGTGAGTGCAATCGAGTTCTAAAGGTCGGTACAGTAGACTATCGTTGTCTGCCTGCAGGTCAAAGAGGGAGATGCGCTTGGGGCCTTGATCGTCTGAGGCCTCGGGTGCACCGTCAGTGC